CACCCCCCCGTAATCTTTCTTCTCTTGGTCATTCTGTAAAGTGTCTGTGTGTACGTCACTGTCTCTACTAAACAGTGAAAACAAGTCTTGTCACTTAAGCAAAAGCCTAGTTTCTAGTTAGGTTTTGGCTAAGTAAAGCCAACGTTTTCAAGTTAGACTGGTAAACAACATGTCAAGTGAAATACACTTGCATAGTCTTTCCCTTCAAATATAGCACTGAAATCATAGAGTGGGGAACCCATGCAAATAGCTAAAGTGCACTGGTGTGGATGTAACACATAACAGAAGAACACCAAAGGACATGTACATATTTCTCACATAATAAAGTCAACAAATACCAACTGGTAATTCAAAATAGCTGTTAGTGCTGTGTGCTGACTGAATAATCTGGAAAAGGTTGGTCCTTGGGAAAGAAACTGTCAGGGAGCAGCAGGCCCTGAAGCATTTGTGAAGCCCTTGGCCTGCCTGCAGATCACTTCCTAAGAACCAGGCCAGTGGGCTGCTGCTGGGTAAGGATGGCACGCTCTTCCCTAACAAAGGTGCAGGTTTTCTGGTAGTCACATTGATGTTTCAGAGGTGCATGTGTGTCTCTTTTTTTTTTTTTTTAAACATAGGTGGCTCACATGACAAAAAGTGAAATCTGTCTTCAGGACACTGCATTTATCGGGCCAGGACTTCTGTTTTTGGACCAGTACTTCAACAGTTTTATTGATGAATATATTGTTCTATGGATAGCATTGGTAAGCATTTTGTTTTATACTTTTCATTTGGAGCGTACTTAAAGGAATGGATTGAGACGTGTCCCTGTCATTCTGCTCTGCCATTTCTGACTTGCTGAGTTTTCAGCTGTCCCTGCAGAGCGAGTGCCCAGGTACCATGTAGACACATATTCTAGGAGGTGACTTTCTTTCCTTGGAAAGTAAATTTACAGAGCTCTCTGCTTATGCTTTAGTCCAGGTGTTTTGTTTAAAGTTATTCTGTGAACTGCAGACTAACAGTCTTTGTTTATCAGAGTTTTTAAGTGTTTAGTGCTGTTTGTTTTTTGGGGTTTTGGGTAGGGGTTTTTTTCTGAACTAGACCACTCTATATCTTAAAATGCTTGTTAAACTTGTCATTGGATAGACTGTGATTAAAAGTATAGCTGAATTTATAGTAGGCACAATTTACAAATTTTTTTTAACCTGTTCTGTTTTGTTCTTTTGAAGTTCATATCCTTGTTTGATATGCTGAGATATGCCACTGGTGTATGCCTACAGATTGCTGCTCATCTTCATATACATGTCTTCAGAATTTCATCTCATCAAGCTCCTGAACAGGTTCAAAACCATAATGACTGATTAAATAGGTCAAGGACAAGAGAAGAAGCAGTTAGGGGAATGTTGAATGAAGCAGCCTCTCTTTTTGGGAAGACAGATTAAGCTTTTCAAGAAAATAGTTTTATGAGAACACTCCTCTATCCCAGAGATTACCAGATGTTAGAATTACTAAATACAAAGTCCTGCAGCTTCTGTTGTGATCAGCCCTTTTGAACCAGGATGTGTTTGCCACAGTGTCCTAAACATTGCAGCTGTTATTTCATACCATGAATACACCATCTGAACCTTTTGCCATTTCCTGTTAGGTAACCTTAACTCTGTACTTCTGGTCTGGTGAATGTAGACTGCAAACCAAGGTGCTACCAACCAGAACTGGAAGAGGGATTTCACTTTTTCCCTAGACTAAGTGACTAATCTTTTACATTAGCTTCTAAAGTCTTCTTGGAACAGCTATGAAGTGGTAGTCAGAGGTACTGATTAGTACACCACTGCATTATTAAGACTGGTAAAATGAGGCATCCATGAGGTAAAACTACTCATTAATGGTGTTTCGAAAGAACAAGTTACTGGATCAGTAGGATGAAGGAGGTATAGGTCAGGAAGATTTTCTTCTATTTCAAAATACTGTTATGAGTGCCTTTAGGATTCATGCATTCTCTAGTATCTACGTACATAACCTACTGTTACTACATACAATTGTAGCTTGTATTTTCTTTTAAGGACAGTTTCTGGTTTAGTGGTTATAATAAGGTTTGCCTCATTGTACTCCATTATCTACACTATAGGTAGTTGTGTACTTTGAGGACACCAGCTTTACCTACCCTAACTTGTATCTGTGAAACTGCACAAGTGAATGACAAAATTCATCGATAAACTTAAATGACTGTGACTGTTTGACTGTGACAATGGAACCCACCCATATGTAATTCCCTCTGAAGTATATTTGCTATCTCTGTGTTCATCTACCTTATCTGATTTGTCTTGTAACTATCACTGTACTTTATTCAAACAAAACTGCACAGAACTAAAACCTAACGTATAGTGAAACTCTCCAAAAGAGGAAATTGGGCCCACTATCAGCCTTTCTCTTTAAGGAACGACCCCCTGGCTAACGGGCTGTTGCTGTCATTAGAGAAAAGCAGAATGAAAGTAGCTTATTATCTGTATGAGCAAATCAGAACTTGAACACAAACCCTGTAAGCTTAAGCTCCTTTAAAGAGGTACTATTTGAATATGATTTTTGTAAAAAGCTGTTGAATGTAAGTGTTCGTTACCATTTTCAGATGCTGATATCTAGCTGAGCTGTGAGTTCATGAAGTCCTTCCTGAACTGTACAATAAAGAATGCTATGGTTTGTTTTAAAAATAACTACTGCAGCTTCCTAGCTGCACATAAACACCTCATTAATTCTTTTTGAGTTAAAGTAATTTTAAAAGTGGTGTATTGTCTGCTAAATTTGGAGGGAATAAAATACCATCTACCATACTCCTGCCTAAGGATACACTGATACGCTTGAGGGATAACTGTAACAGTTACTGCCAAAGCACTGAGCACTGTAAGGGACTAGTATCAATTCCATGTGAATCTTACTACTCCTGTTTGGGGCTGGGAAAGACACAGCATCTACTCATGAACTTAGCCTGAACCCAGGCCATGGGCAAATAGAAGAGACAACGGTAAAGACAATTTCAGTTTGTCTTAATACTGTAAACAAATTAACCACCTGATGAAGACACAGGCAGTTTTTTAGAGTGAGAAAGTTTGGTTCCCCAGAAGGCTCAAAAATGCCTAGAAGGTGCACATAGTTGTAAGGATATGATTGAAGTATGTGGATGATTGGAAACTAATGCAGAAGTCGGTCAGAAAACCAGAAACATGAGGCAAAACTAACAAATAACTTAGTGTTGAAGACAGGAAGCAAAACCTGTTACTGTTATTTCATAGAATTGTCTAATTATCCTGAGAGGGCTGAGACTCAGCAGCACAGTTACAAATTAATGCAGTTATCTGTTACCTGCCCGAGGCCCATACTGCCTCATTCTAGCAGGGTAACTTCTGTGTTTGTTCCTTGCCCAAATCCTAGCAGATGCCCAACAAAAAGCTCCATACCAGTTGTTTTTTCAGTTGCAGCCTAACAGCTGAAGTTCTGTAAGTAAGCCATCACTAATCTGCCTCCCAGAACTGGAGAACCATCACCAAATGACATGATTCTGAACTAAAAATGCTAGTGAGCTGAGGAGAAGAATCTGTGTGGACTGGTTTTGAAACACACTATTAAGAAAACATCACATCTGTGTGTGAGTGGGTGAGTGGGTGTGTGTGTATGTTTTTTGTTTTATCTACTACTGTATGTAAGCATTAAATATGTTAGGGGGTGTGTGTGTGTGTGTATGGTTTTTGTTTTATCTACTACTGTATGTAAGCATTAAATATGTTAGGAGCTCCCTAATTTGTCAAAGTGGATATTCAGGCATAATGGTTTTCTGTAAAAACAAACTGCATGCAAGCTAAGCTGATTGTTTCATTCATGCTGATTTACTACAATGAGATACATGAAAGATAAATGCTTTATCCTTAAAACTTAGGCCTCCCTAAATTGCTAGTCATTTAGAATTCAAAGAGTAATATTCCATCTCAAAAGCCTTGTAATAACTTGTACTAAATAAATGAGCTAGATTACTTCTAGCAGTGGGTTTACAAGATCTATATACCCCAGAATGCATAATGTTTAATTATGCTTACTTGAACAGATGTCATAAAGCTGTGATACTCAGCTCATCATTCAACTAAAGAAACTTGCTTTTTGGGCAAATTACAGCAGTTCATAAATCTCTTACTAATACAAAGATACTACAATGCCCAGCCTAACAAAAGAGTAAATTTAATTTACCATAATACACATCATCAAACAATCTTACATGAGCTATGTCATATTCTCTGAACTTTCATAACTGCTGATATGCCGCTAGACTAAATGTTGAAACTATGAAAACCTTAAAAGTCTGCAGCTTGTGAAAAATGCTTCTATTTGCACAATGCACCTGAAGGCCTAAAGTTACGTAAAATCTGGGTAATGCATTTTTTATTAATTCTGCTCACTGTTAACAATTTGGCATTATAAAACATGAACAATTTTAACAGTCTAATCCTACTGAAAATGAGTATTAAGTAGTTAAATTGGACACAGTAAATGTTTTGGGGTCCATACTGCTCACCCCCAAAGTAATAAATTTACTAATATATGTTCTTAAAACATTATGAGACACAAGATTAGAACAATCCTTGAAAGCATTTAATAGGAACTTTGAAACATTTAAATCTTAACATATTTCTCTATGGCTAATGCCTATACTTGTATCATGTTACGTAGGTAGAAGTTGTTTCTCCATTGAGCCATCAGAATAACATGGACTGAAGAGACTTGCGAACAGTTGCCATCTCCTGCTGTTGCTGTTACAAGAAAAGGAGATAATACTGAACAAATGCCATATCAATATGATTCCTTTCAGCTAATTAAATGAATGTCAAATGACTTTTCTATAGAATGTTCAATTTTTGTATTTAACTAGACTACTTCGTAGATCTGATACTTACAGTGTCCATCATAATCTTCTTCTGCAACATAGCCATTTCTTTCCGAAGCTCACTTTGTGCACCAGCTAGAAGATTTTCATTGTTCTTCTCCAGCTCTTCCATGCTCTGAAGTTAAGGATAATCTTAATTCAGAACTGTTCAATGCCAAAGGGTTCATTTAAAACAAACAATTATTCAGACTAAAATTTAACTTTTACAGCAGCAGTGGTCACTGATACTTGATGAGTTTTGTCATGAACTTGCCAGACAAATTATACAGGACTTTGTACTACAGTCTACATTCCTGTTCAAACAATATGGACCCCGTGAAACAATACAGAACGTGTGAAGGAAACAGTCCCCTCCACTCAGCATCTGTGAGGCCTCCACTAGTTATCCTGCATTTCAATAAGAGTTCTACAAGAAAATATTAAAGACATCTGTCAGGCATGATGGGAGTTTGATTTAAACCTATTAAATTTCCCTCTCTTTGCACACTTCTCCCCACATAAGCCAACTAAAGCACGCTGGTTATCTTCCCTTTTGTACATACAGTTATGTCTAACTGTGTATGCCCATAGATGCATTTTCCTTGACTTGTATTTAGTTAAGCTTATCTGAGGCTTAATTTCTACCTATTGATCTTCTATTAGGAGGAAAATCAAAGTAATACTTGCCCTTCTGTTCAGTTTTCCATCTTTGACATTTGGAAACAGGTATTATTTATTAATGCTTCTGTAATATCTTCTGTAAATTCTGACCATCTTAAACTAAGAGTTGCTCTATTTCAGATTTGTTTTTCAAAACTACCAGACATGAAAAGACCCCAAACATGTCATAACTGAAATTTCAAAAAGGGACCAGTTAGGGAGTGATGTGAGGAGAAATTAAGGTTTGTCAGAAACTGACTTTAATCCACCTTATGTACCAGTATATACTGAGGCCACCCAGCTGGGAAGCAGCTTGGCAGAAAAGGACCTGGGGGTCCTGGTGGGCACCATGTTCAACATGAGCCAGAATGTGCCCTTGCCACAAAGCAGGGTAATGGTCTCCTGGGCTGCAACAGACCAAAATGTTTCCAGCAGGTTGAGCGAGGTGATCTTTCCACTCTACCCAGCACTGGTGTGGCCACACCTGGAGTGCTGGGTCCAGTTCTGGGCTCCTCAGTACCAGAGAGACATGGACCTACTGGATAGAGCCCAGCAGAGGGTCATGAAGAGGATGAAGGGACAGGAGAATTTCTCTTACAAGGAGAGGCTGAGAGAGCTGAGACAGTTCAGCCTAAAGAAGAGTATTCTCAAGCAGGATCCCATCAATGCGTGTAAATACCTGAAGGGTGGGCGCCAAGAACATGGAGCCAGGCTCTTCTCAGTGGTGCCTCGTGACAGGAGCAGAGGCAATGGGCACAAACTGAAGCACAGGCGATTCCTTCTGAACATCAAGAAACACTTTTTTTACTGTGAGGCTGATTGAGCACTGGCACAGGTTGCCCAGGGAGGCTGTGGAGTCTCCATCCTTGGAGATAATCAGAAGCCATCTGGATGTAAGTCCTGGGTAACAGACTCTAGGCAGCCCTGCTGTACCTGCTATGCGATGGACCAGACGACCTCCAGAGGTTCCTTCCAACCTCAGTCCTTCAGCAACTCTGTGGTACTGTGCCTCTGCATTCATTACAAACCCAATCATCTAGGGTACTTTCATTTTTCTCACAGTTTAGATTTCTAATACCTTACTCAGAAAAATAGCGGTGGAAGGAAATTCTGGGAATAAAGTGCTTTGTTCTTAGTGTAAAATGACAGGGAGGACCTTTTTTCTTTTAAATTTTATTACCAAAATTCAAATCTGTGAGTCGTTCTAGTCATAATCATTTTTTGTCCACTGTCTAGTATGTTAACTACTAAAAAAACCCAACAAATCAAAATACACTCTGGTTGATCAGTATGAATCATGTGTTTACAATACATTATCTCTGTAAGCACTGTCAAAAAAATGGTGTTTGTAGGGACTCCCATCAAATACAAAAATTATGCATAAAGTAACAGGAACGTTAAACAGGACTGATCACGTAACCATCCAGCCGGGCCTGTTTTCACCATAAATCAGTGTATCAATCGGATTCTTCCCACTGATGTTTTTAGTGAATGCTTACCTTGAATGCCAGGTTACCAGAAGGAGACCCTTTCTAATGAATGTTGCTTAGGAAGAGATGAAGGGAGTTCTAACTGGGCAATTTTAAGGGAATTACAATTGATTTTCTTTAAGGGTCACTTTCCTTACATGGAACAGCAACAGCTAGAAAGGATTATGACAGAAGAAAACAGGTATCTAATTCTCATAATGGGGGATGCACCTGCCAGTAGTAATAAAAGCAGTAAATTGCAGCCTAAGATGTATTTTTAATAGATTGTCAAGTTTCACTTTTTAAAATAATTATTCCCTTGGCTTTTTGGTAAGTAAGACAAAATCCCGATGATTTAACTGACCTATATAACCTTTAAACTGGTACAAAACTGTGTTCTGATTATAAAGTATGCTCTGAGGGTTATGGTTAAATATTTGAAATGGACGAGCCAATCAGATCCCTGTGAGAACACATTTAACTAAATAATTTATTGAACAGATATAATCCATAGGCATATATAGAGAGAACATGCCATGTTCTTAACCAGGGAAAGATACTAACATGAATATTCATGCAAGACTGTTACTTTCCTTAAATGAACTTTAAATCTCTGTATTTCATAAAGGTTGAATTAATACAGCCTTCTTAAGTGATGCGATAAAGTTCAACTGCCTTCTAAGAAGACTTACTGTACCTTTAAGAATTGATCATAGAGTTGCTTAATGGTTTTCAGTCTCTGACTCTGAACTATTCTTGCCTGTTGAAAAACTTTTTGTTGCTGACGAAATATGTTCTGAGGCAAAAGAAAAAAATAATTGCATTAGTTAACCAAAAGCACTTGGAGAGCAACACCATTGTCATTTATTAGGATCAGAAATGCTGCCTTTGCTGGAAATCTGGGTCATGTAATGTAGATCCCTGCCTGGAGAGTTATCCTTGTTCTTATTAATGAAAGCAAGACTGAAGACTGGATTAAACCCTGAGTCACCTCCTGAGGTCCCTTCCAACCTGAATTAGCCCTGTGAGACCCTGTGAGGATTGCTATCCAAAGCCATTCTCGAGGGTATCCCAGGGAAGTGTGCTGCCTAGGGAAAAGCAAAACTTGCAAATGTGCTGGGAGTAGCAACATCATATGTTTACATTCCATTGTTATAGCTCCTACCCTCCTTCTCAGTGATCAAATCTCACACACTACATGCAAGCATATTTTTAAGCAATGCATGCTAAAAGACAACTACTTTCCTTTACTTCTTTGTTCCCTGAACTCAGAGACTCTGGATGCACAGAACAGCACACATTTTTCTTCTCCGTAAATGGTCTTGACTTTCGCAAGCCATATGCTGGCCTAGAGCATCACTTATTACCATTAATAAAATTGCAATAAAGTTTATAAATACAGCCCTCTTCACTTTAATATATACTTAAACATTTGGAGAGTCACCAAACTTGATTTTTTTTTTTTTTAAACAAAAGGCAAACAATCCTATATTTGTTTAAAATACATAAAGTGTTTTTACATTTCTTGAGTGTCTAAACAATATTTCTTCTTCATGAAAATACCGTGAAAATGATGCCATGCTGGAAACCCACCGTTAGTTTTTCTTCCTGCTCTTCTGCTTTCTGCACATCTATATCCCATTGCTGAAATAAAGTCAGGAACTGCTGGGAGAACTCATGATTGAGCTTCTGCCTATAAATAGACACTAGACATAAGTATGACAAATGCTAAGAAGAATTACAAGGAAAGCTAAGGTTCAAGACACATGGAGCAGAACAAAAAGAGCTGGCAGAGATAAGCAGGCTATTTTGACATCTGGCTGTAACTGAATACGGTGTTTTGAAAAACGGAACACATACATAGACACAAACACTTTCTGAGTGAATGTGATTATATACATATAAGAAGACAGCAACTAACTTAGGTTAAAAAAAAAAATTAAAAATTTTCTTCCTGACAGTGTCAAGTTTTCTGAGATTTACTATGTTTTTCTAATCCAACTACAGATTTTGGCTTTAACATAAGGGGTTTATAATGAAAAATTAACTCATTCATTAGTTCATTATGCTCTGGTTTCCCTACGTAAACATAAGTTCTGTCAATGCAAGTTTGACATACATATATATAAAACCACCAAGACAGTTACAAATATTACTGATATTCAGTTTTTAGCTGTCTCATTTTTCAGTTTGCTCTACCTGTAGTATCAGATGTAGTAATTAAATATGCCTTAAGAGGAGTGTTATGTAGGGTGAAAATTATTTACAATGTAAAAATAAAAATTATTTTCTGAACCAGAATGGTATAAAAGTTTTACTGAACATTTCTCAGTTTTCAGGTAGAAACAGAAAATTCCAACTGAAGGGGAAAAAATAAAAATATTGGTTTAAAAGACAAAAATAACATTAAAGGTCATTTTCCATAAAGATAAAACAAAAGTAAACCCAGCTCTTTAAGGTAGCTTGCTCTCAAAATTCCAAATCTTAAGTTTCTCCATTCAACAGAGAAAGCACTATGTTAACCACTGCTGTCAGTTTAACCAAGCAGACACAACTGGAGGCAGCAGACACAGAGGACCTGAGCAGGTATGTAACTAGTAGATTCACTACTTGCTATTTATCTGCAAGAAGATGGACCAACTATCCATGCTGACACGAGAGGGAATTTGATTTCACAGGTCTGAAAAACAAGGATAAATGTTACCTTTGCTCCTGCTGTGTTTTCCAGACATGTTCAATCTTCTGGTTACTGGTTTTGAGTGAGGCTTTTGTATACATTTCTAATCTTTTCCTCTTAGCTAAGAGAGCCTTGTTAATGTCAGCTAAAAATCAAAGAATATTTAGAAATTAAGCATACCGAGATACATTGTGCCTTTTATTAAAAATGCTGATGAGTTACCCTTTGGAGAAGTAAACGAAAAGTGTTCTGCTGGAAAGAAGCTGGGCTCCTGGCAGCTGTATGTCCCTCAGCCTGCTGTTGGCAGTGGGGTGTGCTGCTTCCCTAAGCTCCCGTACACCTTAACTGACACCTGGCCTCTGGAGTTGCAACTGCTTGTTGCCCAGCCCCACCAGCTACTCTCACATCTGCTTCGATTTCCACCTCTCTCAGGGGCCAGACCAAGTAGTACCTACCCTGAGGTGACTCAGCTTTAGCTTCTTTCATTCTGGGCAGGATGGAGGTGGGTATGTTGTCAAGCTGGCTCTGAGCAGACACACACAGTGAACTGAAACTGCCCTGCGGTTTGAACTTGGGGTTGCTGCAGTGCTTCCATCATATACATTTAAATCGGTCCCTTATACACTGTCATCATGGGTTTCCCTACTGATCATTATGGTCCAGCACACACTTCTAACATATCGCCCATACAATAAGCAGACATACATGCTTGAAACACTAGAAGCGCTACCCAGTCAGGTCACACTGTGTATCTTCAAACACTATTTGGACATCTCATAGTCTGTAAATTCTACATTCAAAGCTAGAGATACCTTGCACAAACTTGACTGAGTACAGACATCTTGCTCTTTTCTCTAGTATCTAATGATGTTTTAGTCACACCATCAAAATGCTCGTTAGTTTAGCTGCATGACTACAGTGCCAGCTCAGTTTCCAGACCTTCAATGAAATTAGCTATGCTGACACTTTCTAGGTTTTTTTTTTTAATAGAAAAACCATGTTTCAGAGTAATACTCAAATTACTTAGATTTTAGGAATAAATGAAAGGTAGTATTACTATCACTGTGAACATAATGAATGAATGAATGACAAACTTTTTCATACTTCAGAGAGACAGTACTTTTTAAAAAGTATTCAAGTTAATAGCAGTTTGTACTTTTGTTTCATTTTAATTTACATTTGGAGATTTAAGAAGCCACAGCTTCAGGTTAATACAGCAATTTCTTTTCCTTCTCACTGTAGATTTCAGGAAACATCTGTTAAACCTCTCTAATTTCCTGAGGCATCTGCCTCTGGCTAATGCCAAACCTATTAATTTTGAGCAGAGAGCATCCTCTCTCTGATCCATTCATTTTCTTCCCTTCCATCCTATTTTTGAACCTTCAATAACAAGCAATCCTAGCTTTTAAACATTGAAATCCTCCTCCTATCTAGAGCGCTAGATCTATAGTAGCATTCTAATATGTTTCTTAACAGCAAAAACTCTCAATTCATGGATTAAGGAATTCCTTGACCTCCTCTTTCACCTTAAGATTTACATGCAAGTAATGACTTTTTACAGCATTTTCTTACACATACGATGAAATGTATATATACATATACAATGAAAGTATTAATCAGACACTGAGTATTTAATACTGTCATTAAGATGGTTTCCCTTCCTTTCGTGGCTTTTCGATGCTTTGTTACACTGTGATGTGTATTATACATTCTTTACAAGTGAAATGTGTTTTTTCTCTAACCTATCAGCTATCTAGAATTCAGCTGGAAATTAAACTATAAATAGAGTCATCTGAGGATCTGATTATAGCTAAACTAAATCCAACTAGGTGATGTGCATAAACCCCTCATCACTAGATGACTGGCATTACATACCCTCATTTATTAGCCTTTCTAGAAAGGTGTACTCTTCTTCCTGACTGTTGAAATTCTCTTTTCTACTGATTCCCTGTTCTCTGTATTTCTGAAAGTGGAGCACAGACTACCCTCTAGCTCATTCTGTATCGCAACTATGGTCTACTTCCAAAATTTTCTGTCTAGAATTAGAAATACTCATTCTATGTAGCTTATATTAACATTTACATGCCGCTGATTACTCCCTCGTTTCCCCAGTCACTTCTCCGTCACTGTAACAAAAACCTGAGTAAGAACAACAGCTAACTCATATTGTCCCTTTACTATACAATGCAATCCTCTTACTACCTCTTAATCTTAAAATTGAAGCTGATAATCAAAAACACTCATGCATCCTTAGGCCCTTTTTCCTTTGTAATTATCTACACCAATGCATAGGTCTCACTTTATAGGCAGCTATTCCCTTCTCTTCTTTCCCTTTTGCTCTACTTAGATACAACTTTTTTTTCTGAAAACTTTTTTTTTTTTTTTTTCAGAAATGCTGAAAAATGCTACAAAGACGGGTCATTTTATATAAATCTTGAAAGTTATTTTAAGGTAAGGAATTACTGCCAATTCTGCAATTTAAACATTCTTTTTTAATTTATTAGAATGGAAACGTACTTACCTCCAAATCTTTCCAGCATATTCTGTACTTCACCCCTACAAAATAGTGTTTAAAATTTTTATTTGCCCATTTTGACTTCAAAATAAGACCTTTTGTACATGCTTAAAACTAATTTTATTCATGTGCCTGTTACTTATAAGCAGTGAGAGAGCTGCTGCTGTTCTACAAGATAAAAAATGCACTCCTCCTGTGAGAGGTCTCTTTTTTAGATTAATTTGGTTTTTTTAAAAAAAAAAATTGCTAGAATCTATTAACTTAGTCCCGAGTAAAAAGGCAGTATTAGGCATTTAAAGGGTCTTGATTGAGGTAGGACAGTAAATAAAATTGATCATTCAGTAAATCCAAGACAAATAATATCAAGGTTGTTTTTACAACACCTTTAAGGCAGTGGTACAATAGCTGACAAGTCCAAAAAGGGACATGGTGGGTAAACAAATGTATCTTCAACTCAACAGTTGTAAACTTGCTAAAAACTATTTCAACATACACATACTACATGCAATAGTTGGATCATTTAAAGTACTGTTAGTATCTTCAAGTAACAGAGATCAGAGGGAAAAGAATTAAGGAAATTATCAACAGTTTAGGATAAAACAAATCATCTTTTGAAAGAAACAAGAATTTTAAGTACTCACATAAATGTATAATTTTTAATGCATGTTCAAAAGTATCTACAAAGAAACTGCAGAATTACTCATTTTAAAATGTTAATTCTTTTTTACCTACTACTGTATTATCTGTCACCTGATTTTTGAATCAAACATTAGAAAAAAACTCCAAGCAAAACAAGCATAGTGAGTTAACTGAAATCAGTATCTATTTAGGACTTGATTATTTAAAAAAACCACTCCAAACCAAACAAAAATACACACACCCCCTCCCCCCCAAATCCCCTAACCTTACCCCACATCATCTGGAACCACATGAGTAGTCACCAAAGGTCTTTTCTTTCCATGCTTGTCCATTATCAGTGTTTCACCTTAACACAAATTTCAAAAAGTTTTACAAAAGTATCATATTTTGTGGGGATAATTTGAGTTATGAAAAGTGTAATTACTTTTCTGTAATGTCACTTCTCTGAACATGTCTCATGGGTCTCAGTTCCCATCCATAACACATGAAGCTAAAACTCTGAATCTGGAATTGACAGATAGTAGTGAATTACTCTGCAAAGGTAGATTTGACCTGGCACTGCCTTAAATTCCCCTAGACTGGTCTCAACCAGTTTTAGCTTCACTGTCCACTACTACAGTTACCCCAACTCAAAATATAACAAGCATCAGAAAAGTAAAAATAATCTAAAAATTCAAAAAGACCAATCTGTATTAATCTAATTTGAATGTAAAATAAGTACTGAAATTGTGTACTCTGATCTTTAAAAAAGAAAAATCACAAATAGACCATTATATTTTTCCAGAAAATAAAAATCCTTGCCTGTCAGATTTCTATTTGGGTTTGTGTTTGTGTGTGTATGAAATTTAGTCTGAACAAATGAAAAAGGGAAGAAATTAGTACAAAAAACCGAGATATAACTGCTGAAAGACAAAAATCCAGAAATTGATTTGTATCAAACTTTACAAAAAACTATCATGTTATGAATGAGAACTGCATTTTTAAACAAAGTCCAATTCTTTATGACATTCCCTCAAAATTAAACAAGATTCCCTTGGTTGACTTCTTTTCCTTTTTCTTCAGCTTTCTCTGCTTCTTCCTCTTTCTTTTCTTTGTTCAGATTCTTCCTGAAGCACTCTTAACCCTGCCAGCATTCAGACTTCGACTACCATACCTGACTCAGCACTCCATACAAGCAAGCAGAGCTCTTCTGTTCTATCCTGATCTCACAACTTTATATGCAGCCAGGTGATAGAAGGATATGGCATTAAAATAAGGTAAAAAAAAAAAAGATGTAATAAAATCCTACTCTATTAAAGACTCCACCTACAATTTTGAGACATAATAGTGCACTATACAGACTTATTCCATTGTATTCTCTTCTCTTACTGATCAAAAATTATACAACAGGAGGCTAGCTGTCACAAACATTATGAGCCATGCTTACTCAGACACTTGCTAATATGGAAGTGTTTTCATCTCTATTCATAGTCAGAAATATTATAAACTTCACATTAAAAAAATAATAATATAAGCACCTTCTCTAATATCTTCTTCTGATCCACTCAGATCTTTTCTTTCCTCCTGAAAGTCGTAGGCAGGTATGGCTTGATTTTCCTGTGCTGTTTTAGCAGCTTTTCCTCCATGCTTTCTTCCCGATGGTGCCATAATGAGATTTTCTTACTGAAACAGTATGCTGTATTTGTTACATAACTTTCCCCACTTTGAAAATAAACAAGGTTTTATGCTTACATTGACCTGTTATGGACAACTCTGCAACACTCTCTACCTGTAAAGATATTCAAGCAGTCAAATTATTTTAGTTTTGAGGTAATCCACAGACTATCCACACTACCTATCAATGGTGTTTTTAAGAACAGGGTAAAAAAAAAAATAAAGTACCAGGGCTAGTAGGAACTTGATTCTGCTTAAAAAGAATGAATTAGGCACTTTTTTAAGGTGCCTCCCTGTTTTGCTTCCATAATGTTTATTATGCATTTTGACATATCCAGTACTGCATTTCCAAAAAGCCATGCCAACATTCTATTTTACAAAATATAGAAATAATAAACCATGAAGAACAATCTGATTCTACAATCCATCCCACACTAGAGACACAAATACATACAACATGCCATTTTTAAAAATCCTGGACAACTTTAACTTTCTCAGTTATCTTTATTTATAGCTACTATGCCTCTACAATGTATTTGTAAACATTTTACAAATACACTGCCCTCTTTAAAAAAAAAAAAATCATTATTTTAGTAACACTAATGCTTACATATGGATTTTTATAAATATTCAAGGAGTAAAATATCTATTTAGAAGGAAAAAAGCATAGTTGTAATCATTAAACATACGAATGACAAAATAATTTCCTCCTTAGCACTTTATCAACAATAGAAATAATATACAACTACAACAGGAAATAGCAAGCTACTGAAACCTTGCTGAAATAATTTTCATTACCTTTGATAGCAAGAGGCATGAAGCATTTCAAGTCACATGACATATACCTTAAAAAAATCCTTTTAAAAATAACAGGATTACTTGAAAGATGGAAAGAATACAGAAAAAAAAATCATCATCTGCCAAGTACCCCGTTTCCAAACTGCGCAAGACATGACTGAGAAGCTGATAAACTTCTCATTCTAGACACAGTTCAACACAGCTAGAAATATCAACAGGTTTTCCACAAGCCAGGGCAAAGATAGATCTGAAAATTAAATTCACACACTGAAAATGAGAACTCCAGTAAAGAGCTTCTGAATTTCCAGGACTGTGAAGTCCCCCCAATACACCTGACATTCTAATTTCTGTTTTTTGAATTAGTTTTCTATAGCTGTGAAAATATGGGGGTTTTAACACTTACTACATGGATATATATATGATCAGTGACCTACTAAGTAAGGAATACTGCTTTTAATGCCCATCTTTTTCTGTGTTAATACTTCTCTATATAGCATGAATATTTTTAGACAAGTTTCCTGAAAAACAAAACCAAAACATCTTTAAATTATTAATTGGAAAATTAAAAGCTCTTGCATTAAAATTATCCTCAAATGAAAGAAAATTCTCAAGACTCATTCTGCTTTCAACTACTGCGGCTGTTGAAAACATCGTGTAAAGTACTGGTATGGCATTGGCTGTGCTGCCAAAGTGCTTCAACTTTAAAATGCAAGCATGTATTTTATCTCACATACAAGCAATTTTCTTTGTACTGAAAATCAGTACACCAACCAGAACTTCCCAAGTTCCTCCATACGCTGTAAAACAATCTTGCCACCTCACAACCCCATACAGCTTTCACCCATGCTGTGTAGCTACCTGCTTTAGCAGATTCCAGTTATCTTCAAACCACCGTTGTGTATTCAATGATTTTTCAGAGGCTCGCCTCCTTTTTTCACCCTGCTCAAAAAGATGTGAAATAAACCAGTATTTGTGTGACTTTACTACATGGGGCTTTTCATCACAGGGGCCCACCTGTTTCTCCCTCAGAGCAGCAGGGGAGCCATGGGCCCGCACCACACCACCCCCACAGCAGGTTTTGGAGGGAAGCCACTGGAGATGTCAGAGGGGCACCGCGGTGTCCTATCCCTGTTCCTTACTCTCCACCCAAACACCCTTCATCCCTCTCCCTCTGCCCTGCGATGGCCTCATTCCCACTCTCACCACCCGCCGCCACGCAGCGCCCACCACGGCCGCCGCCGCCTCACACGGAGGGGACCCACCAGCGGCAGGGAGTCCAACACCCTCCGGCAGGCAGCAGGAACACCGCTCCGTCCCAACGTCCCCACCCCAACTCGCAGCCCTCGGGCTCCCCCACGCCTCTCCCGGCCGCGCAGGCAGGCCCGCCCGAGCGGAGGCCGTGCCGCCTCAGCAGCTCCCTGCCCGCGGAAAGGCGGGAAAGGCGGGAGGACCCTACAAAAGGGAGGGGGCGCATGCGCAGGAACACGCGCCCCGGGGCCCGCCGTGCAGGTTCCGCACTGAGCTCCTTTGAACCTCACCTCCCGTTAGCTATTTGAGTCTTTTTTTAGAAACGGCTTTCTCACCCGGACAACAAAAACTCTGCAAAGTTAAGTTGTTCTGGTGGGTATGTAGGCTAGGGTGTGATGCCAAGGGAGAATTTTTCCATAAATCAATGCAAACAGACAGTATTTCTCCAGTCAGATTAATTTTACAAACTACGTGTTTTATGTTGCAGATTTTTCTACTGTTCTCACAGGATTTTCTGTCCTCAAGCAGTTAAGGTATTTTGCTCTTACAAAGATCACATACGAAAGCTTAAAAAAAAAAAAAGAAATCCTACCACCATTTAACATTTTAAACATTCTCATTAACCTAAACCATTTTGAAAAATTTTACTTATTATTTACTTCAGTATTTAACTAAGTTTAAGTTTTCACTGGATCTGGCTGGGGAGGAGTTAACTTTCCTCACAGCAGCCCCCCACGGATGTTCAATATATTTTACATTGGCGACCAAAACAAGGTTGGCAAGGCCTGGCCCAGGGCAGTGAGCGAGCTGTTGCCAAGCAGGGCCTGCACAGCCTTGAGGCCTCGCTCTGCCCCCGCAGCCAGGAACAGGCACATCTGACCTGACCAAGATGATACTCCACACCATACAATGTCAGGCTCTGCAAGAAAAGCTGGGAGTTCGGTCTTTCCAAGGTGACTGTTGCTCAGAGACTGGCTGGGGAGGCCGAGTATTTCAGTAACTTCTTTTGCTTCGCTTGGCTTTGTGTTCCTTCCTTCCCCATTGGTTATTAAACTGGCTTTACCTTGACCCACAAGTTTTTCTTTTGCTATTCCAATTCCCTCCTTCATCCTGCTGGCAAGAGTGAATGGCTATGTGGGTGTGTGCTTAGTTGTCACCATAGTAAGTTCACATCTTACTCTGCTTCACTTTTTTTTTTTTCCAGGTACCATACGAACAGATTTTAGCAGTGATTTTCAGTGAGTACTTCTCAGTAAGTTCACACTACATCTTTTCAGCTCTTCCTGTTGTAGCGAATCACAAGGCCATGAATCTACCTTCAAAACTTTGCTTCAACAAAAAGTACAGTGACAGCTGAACTACCTCTGCAATCTGTTTATATGTCACTTCAGCAGAAAAACTGCCTTAACATTTCAACCAAGTTTTTCCAACTTTATGATTAGAAAATCAAATGTATTTTTTAAGCAAATAGATCCTAATTAAACCTGAATCTACCTAATAGTCTGAAGTGTAAGAAGCTATTAAAATTTTCTTTTATTTCTTGAAATGTCTCATTTTCTACAGTACTTTAGACTAGCAGATTGTACTGGGTCTGGCTGAACTGGAATTGGTTTTCCCCTATAGCAGCCCTCACAGTGCTGTGGTTTATGCTGGGAGCTGGCAGGGTGCTGATAGCACCCTGGTGTTGTAAATACTGCTGAGCAGTGCTTACACAGCACCAAGGCTCTTTCTGACATTTCCCCCAGTGGGACGGGGTGGGCAAGATCTTGGGAGGGGACACAGCCAGGACAGCTGACCCGAACTGACCAAAGGGATATTCCATACCATATGACGTTTGCTCAGTATAAAGCTGGGAGAAAGGAGGAAGGGGGTGGGGTCACCCTTGGTCCTCCGAGGCAACCACTACGTGTATTGGAGCCCTGCTTCCTGAGAAGGCCTGACATCGCTTGTCCATGGGAAGGAGAGAGTAAATCTGTTTGCTTTTGCTTCCGCGCGCAGACCTTTGCTTCGCTTTGCTTATATTAAAACTGCTTTTCTTTCACCCACAAGGGTTAGTTTATCTTCTTTCCCCTCTTTGCCCTGTTGAGAAAACAAGGGGGGGGGGGGGGGGGGGGGGAGTGATAGAACGACTTGGTGGATACCTGGCCTTTAGCCAAAATCAAACCATTACACAGATGTAAACTACTTATTTATATTCTATGTTTCAGCATAATATATATTGCTAGCATAAAATGTAACCTTAATAAATAAAAGTGCTTATATTTTTACAATGCTCAAAGTTTGATTCTACTTTGAGAATCCATTCATGCTTCAAATTAATATGAAATTATTACTGTTGGAAGTTTAAGGGAAAAATAAGGACTTATTCATACACTAATGCTGATTTATCAAAATGAGTGAGTTTTGTTTTACTTTAAAACAGAAACAACAGACAAAACTTTTAGCACATTTTCATTAATTTCAAAGCAAACCAAGTATTTTACAATACATATGCACATACATTTTGTACATCATCCGATTACAAAAATTAATGTTTTTTTGAATACTGCTATTACAATTAACTGGATATACCACCAAAAATTTCTGCTTGAAAAGATTCAGTAGTATCCTTTCCCACATAAAACCACACTATTCTGATGTCTCAGCAAAATACAGGACCAAACCCCATTAAATTTAAAAACACCAAAGCTTCATATGTCAGTACATATGTTGTTTTCTGAAGTGAAACACTGCTCCCATACATTGCTACATTAGAAATTTTTGTTACCCATTCATACAGAGAGGCACTTTTGTTTTTATATTTACAATGCTTGTGAAGTATTATACCTGGATCCTTTTCATTTAATTACAGCCCTCTATTTGTAATCAAACCAAGCAATAACACCATCATCTTCTTTGGAACATAATACATCAGGTACAAAGTATCTTTCAAATAGCCATTAGTTGTTCTGTTACTCTGTATTTTATTAGCATACATTTTTTCCAAATCCCAATTAAATATTACAAATAGGTGAATGAATTGTCACTGTGCTTTAAATAACGTCAACATCAATAAATGTATACTAAATCTAAATGACAAGTTACATAACTCTCAATTTTCTCAAAAAAAAAAAAGCAGCAACAATAAAAATTTGCAAAATGTTTTGGAATGCGAGATCAAGGACCTCTTAAACTGCTCTCAAACAATTTTGCCTTCCAACATTTTATCTAGTTGGCAACATCCACTGCAATAAATGCAGTTACATTTCTTTAGGTAACCCTTTTTATAAAAAAGGATAACTTGGCCATGAACTAACAGTTGTAAAGTAAGATGAGTTGAAAACCGCCTATGTACAGGTTTCCTGCAATTTTTTTTTTTTTTTTGCATTGTCACAGCTCCAGCAGCTTGTATATTATGAAGAGTACTGTGGAGATTCTAACTGTAGATGCACGATTTTTTTTCTTCATCCCAACGTACTTAAATGTCAAACCATAAAAGACACTTAGAGAGAGATTTTAAATGCTTATCACATCTTGAGGTAGACCGATCTCCAAAATAAAGCTCTTCTACACTTTGATTCGTTCATGACCAACTTCCTTTTGGATCCTTCTCCTTGGAAAAATTTTCCTTTTAAGTGCAATTAGCTGAGGAGAGAAAAAATTACAATATTTAGTTCTTTCTCTGCTGGGCTAGAGGTGCACAGCTGGCCAGACTTTCATCCTAGAAACTATAAAATCTGTACTATCCATGGTAATTAAGTCAATACTGTTCTTTTTTTTTTTTACTGCACAGGAAGTTATTTACTCATTCATCTATTAGGTGTGTACATTTCTACTGGACTTCTCAATAACCAGAATACAAGCAGAAAGTGAAAAATACAGTATGCCTATATTCTGATTATTTTAAAGTTAATTTCTGTGTTTAAAATTAAACACCAGGCTACATTCAGTTTCTAAAAGATCAACATAAAGCTGGCATCTTAAATCAGTATTTATATACCTAGCTGTACTACTGGGTTGAGTAACCCCTTTAAAAGCCAAGTTACTAACGGAGGGTGAGTTTTCTAATACAAAAGGTTGAAAATCAAAGGAAAGATTCATGCAAAAGTTATGGGTGGGAAAAAAATAATAATCAAAAGCCAACCTTTCAAGAATTACACCCTCTTCATCAGACCACGGAAAGTGTTACTTAAGGCCCCAACCTGCAAAGAATTACCCATATGATTTGTTCCATTGACTCCCTCTAAGTTTAGCAGGATTAATCACGTTCAAGAACGCCATTTTATGCTTGCAGAAGTGGAGGGTTTTTCCTCTGAGTCAGATTAAAAACCATTTGAATTCAATAGGAGTCTTTGAAATTACTTAGGGATGGTTTTTTGTAAGGCCTCTAAATACCTTGAGATTCTCTTCAGGATTAGAGTATTGCCATTATTTAAATTTTCTTCTTGTTAACTTAATTAGCACTTTTACTAATAGGTGTGTTAAAGAATTTCAAAAGCAATTACTGATTTTGAGCATCCAAATTTAGCACACTGAATGATGGACTCAATAGTCACAAGGCACCTGAAAAGGGAATACCACTCTCCTTCCCCTCATATGACTTTTTTTCAGGGAACCTCAGCATGATGACTTAAAAATCAAAGCTATCTAATTAGTCATGTAACACTTTTACTTCCCTTATGAAGGAAAAATCCTAGCTACTTTTCAAAATCTATTTAAAAAAAAAATCCATTTTATGTTACCTGAAGATACAGTGATATATTATGTGTTATAGATTTTATAAGAAGGTATTAATTTTACCTGTTCAGCAAAAAATGAGATGACTGTAAATACAATAAGTGTTACTAGAACACAATGGGTCCAGAATTTGAGCTTGTCTCTGTATGCTCTCCTGCACAAAGAAGGAAACAGAAAAACAGCTTCATATATTCTCAATACAAACGTATAAACTTTAAAGAGTTTCCATGAAACAGGCAAAGGAAGTTATTTTCCAGTACTTAAAGGGTGGCTGGAAAGAGGACAGAAAGCCCTCTCTTCACAAAGAGCCACATGTGGACAAGGGGCAACAGGTACATGTTGGACTGGGAGAGGTTTCATCTTGAAATAAGAAATATTTTACAGTGAGAACAATCATTCACTGAAACAACCTCCTCAGGGACGTGGTAGAGTCCCCACCACTGGAGGTTTTCAAGATGCATCTTCCCACAAAATATTGGACCTGATGATCTTGAGGTCCCTTCCAACCCAGGCTGTCCTATAATTCTGAAAAACACTTTGATAAACATGGATTTCCACCAGCACATCACCATGCTTTAACCCACCCTGGTATGAATCTATTTTGGTTACAAAAAAGTCAAAATAAAGTGTTTTTTTGAAGCTAACGAAGTCCTGATGGATTGTCCTCAAAAAGGGAGCCAACAATATGTCTACTCCTTCAGCACAAACTTCAACAGCTAACTGCTGAAATGCGTTTGCCCCCTACTCCCTCTGCCACTGCTACAGCAGGGCTTGTAGTACTACAATCCACACCTAATTCTTGTCAATTACAATCCTCGTTCCTTCCACAGTTCCTTAATATTTTCTCTTTCCTTACTAACAGCTATTTCTCATAATTTGCTGATCAGCCACAAAATTACTATACTAGTCTTGTCTCATTTTTGTCACTGTACCTGCCAACCTTTTGCTTGTATTCTGAAATCAACTACCCCAGTTTCTGAAGTTAGTATTTATGAAATGGCAAGAGGTACACACAAATATTTCACAAATTAAGACACACAAACATGTATCTTTTCTGATGATTATCCAGCTGATTATTGCTGTCTGAAAGATAAAAAAACCTCATTTACTGAGAAACTTAACAGTTTATATTGCCCCTGTGCAACAGGCATTCCAAACAATGGCGGATTTTTTACATTTAAAGTTTTTTTTTTTTTTTAAAAAAAAAAAAGCAACAACTTTTTCTTTGAAGTAGGTTAGGGCCAAACAATGAAATGTTAATGACTTTATGAGCAGCAGAAAAACCCAAATACTGTAAACCTCAAATTTTAGTCCATTCAAATATTTTCACATTATTTTCACTGTTAACTCCTTCATGACAATACTGAGGGAAAAAAAGGTTTGTAATGATACGTTCTATAATTATATTCCATTGCACTACAATAGCTTGAAGAGAACCTGTGTAACATACCATTCCTGGAGTTCGTGCATGTGAAGGAAACGATTCCGATACTCTCTCGGCAGTTCAAATTGGGAAGGTATGGGAAACATTGATTCATAAAAATCCCTAAGCACCGCTTTCACTGTCTGAGCATCCTTATGATTGTGATCAATATTGTCATTTAGGCAAACAAATTTTCTAGAAAGCAAGAAGGCATTGTTAGAATATTTCTTTAATAATATAGCAAAGGTACTGGCAAACCAAGAACACTGAATCTTTTTAGACAAAATTGATACAGTACCCTTTTAAAACCAAATTGATATATTTATTACTGGTAATCATTTTCCTTATTGTCGCATTATTTTAAATCAATTTGATTTTAATTCTAAGAGCACCAAGGCTGACAGTGAGTCAAAACCTCTGAGGAATCCAATGACAAGCCACATTTCCTTGTTTTATTTATATATTGC